CTATTGTAATTCTCATGCAGAGCTCTCTGGTGCACCTGCTGACCTGCGAAAACGCCTTATTCCTGAACACATGCGCAAGTGAATTTTGTGAAGACAGTTGCTTAGGCTTTGTAAATGGGTTTTTTTGAGAGGTTTAGTCGCCTAATCAGTGCTTACTTTGCTCCAGCAAATGCAGCTGCTATTCTTGGCCCTGGTAATATTTGATGCATTTCAACGTCAACATGGAGCTAGTAACTTGCTAGTTGGTTTTGGAAGGAGGTTATGTCAGTAAGATTCGTCGGTGAATGATCGGCATGGCATGTCTGTCTATAAACTTATTATGTGTTAAAAGTATCGAATACCCCTCGCAGTTTTAGATGAGAGTTTTCATCTGTTAATTGATACGTTGTAGCAATATCTAGTTTGTGGGTATTCATAAGATCAATGGGTGCTCCCAAACTGGAGTTATAGATGAATTATTAGGAATTTTTTAATTTTTAAGTAAACCATTTCTTCTCTTCTGGTTGTCAGTGCTAATATATTCACTCCTTAAGTTAATATTTGTATTCTACCAAATGGAGCATTTCCACAAATGAGAAGAAAAAGGAAATGAAATATATGGGTTGTTCAACGAGCATTCCCTAATCATACGTGTTCACAGAATTTACCTATTTTCCAAAATGAACGACCTGCATTGACACTTGAAAAAATAGTGAATGGATACAGGATGGTGACTAAAACTAGAGGATAAAACAATTTTTTCTATAGCAATGACATATATAGGGTAACTTTGCCCGTAAAGGTTTAGAAGACAAATAAGAAGAAACTGATTAGCATTTTTTACATCTTTTGAGATTTGAACTGAATGCTAGGCCACCCACTTGGATTGTAGAGGGCAAAATAACTTGGGAGTGTTACTCCGTCCATCAGACTTGAAAATATGGGCATTAAAAACTAAATAAGGAACTATTAGTCCATTAAATACGAATCCTCCATTCAACAATTTAAGATTTAGTCGTAGCCACCATTTGGAGAAAATAGATTCAAAGCACTAATTAACAGCAACTACAATCTCTTATGAAAAGTCAGCACCTAAATAGTTTTAAGTACAGCTTTGTGGTCCTGTGATCAGAACAAATTTGAACCAGAGAGATCACATCCCCATTCAGCAAATAAGGACAATCAAGATAGGTCTGTTTACTTATTGACAATTGCATAAGGTCCTTGGCATGTGGTCCGGATGGTTTATGAACTTGCAACACATACCTATTTGATCTACGAAGAGAATACACCACCACAGATATAACCATCCCCATCAACAGTGACATTGTGACAATCCAATCAATCCATCAGTATGCTTTCCTTTTTCTTTCCAATTTGTGGTAACCTAATTTTAAGTCTCTGTTGCCATGCAACTAGTTGAATCTCCAGGATCAAACAGAAATGGATGTACTTTGAAACCTGTAACGCAGTCCCACCAGAATTCCTGGTACTGTTTCATCAACTCCGGGGGGATGGTGGATGGTTTCAGGAAATGTGTGTAGCTATTTTCCCCCGCTAGCACTCATAATAGGAAAGGCTACATTGACTTCACCGGAAAAGGCTTTGATGTCATGGAGGACTTGGGAATGATGAATATACTATGTTCAGTAACATGTGTGTTTTTTGTGGTCCATACAACCAAAGGCAGGCAATGAACAAAAGACTTTATTAGATATTCCACTTACCAGATGCTCACAATAGAGAAACAGGGGACTAGCGGTGGGAAAGCTATTAGCTTCTGCAAGCAACTATTGTTATACTTTTGCATAAAGGAATAGGCACTTAACAGAAATAAATTATTTATTTGAAATAAAAAAGTATCCATTCAAAATCAGAACACCAATTCATTTTGTCCTAGACATTAAGAGAGATAGATCTGAAAGTAAAGATGTCTAGACTTCTGAATATAACCACCGTCCGCTTCACCAGTAATAAACTCGTGCATCCTTGGAAAGAAAGGGCAAAAGAAAAGACAGGAATTTCCCATTTAACATGTTGTCTTTCTATATTTTTGCATTGTTGAAGAATCATCAGTTATTAAAAAGCCATTGGTGCACACCTAGCCGCTGCCTCTAAGGCTCCAATACTTTTTTTGTTTGATCAAATGATATCAATCAAGAAGACTCTCTTAGTTTTGTTAGTGTCTTTTCAGATTATGTCAGTGTCTTTTCATCAGTTATTAAGCTAAACGGAAGTCTAGCTGCATAGCTTTTTTCTCACTTATACAAAAGGCAGCTATCTCAATCTTAAGAAATTTAATGAATCAACTAGTACCCTAGGGAATTCTCAAATTTTTTCTGACATCCATCCCTTGTCAAAAAGTTTGACTTTATGGAAAGACACTGACATAATCCAAGCAAGGAACTTAGAAATCTTATAAAGATATAATCCACTTACCACTGCCTGCTGATATTTCTTCCATCAAAACTGTTGTCGATTAATGTCATTTTCATCAAATCTCCCTCCATTAACAGCAAACAGCAAGCAATAACCTGTATAGTTATATGGTTGCTTCACTACAGGTCTCTACATTAGGGACAATCAGTAAATTAGAGAAGCCTGCACTGTCAGATGCAGAAGCATCTTTTCACATGGCAACACAACTGAAAGCATCAGCATCATTAGACTGACAGCATTTAGAATATATAAAAAGGATGAAAATGAGGAAAATCAGGTACCAAGTAACAGGTAAAATAGTAGTTACAGCTACCTAAAGAAAATTCAAACTCAGTTTCTGCTTATGTACCAGGAGTATCAAACAGGAAGGTGAAAAAAGGTAAGAAAAACACTGAACAAAATGTCTATGTGGTGCAACTTGAAGATTTTGAAAGGATTAGCCCCCCAAAGAGTGACCTTTTTAACCATCATTTTCATTTATGAGGAACAAAACCTAAATTTTGTCCAGTTATACCAAAGTTTCAACTAGCCAGTTCTTGCTATCAGGGAAGGCAACGGAATCAAAGAAAATCCATTAGCTTTACCCAAAGTAAAAACACCTTTACCTTTAGAAAATTATATTATACGACTAGCATGCATCTTTTTTTTAAAAGAAAGAACTTTCATTCTATACAAACAGCAGTAAACTCCCAAGACAATGGCAAGGCTATGCATTGAACAAATGTCCAATCTTACTCTCAGGGAAACACTAAGATATTCTCAAGCACTAGCATGCACCTATAACATGCTCAGAGTTCTAATCTTAACAGAAAACACCAAGTCAACTCCTTTTCAATCAAAGTCTAGGGTTCAGGTACATGCTACACTTCATCTAAAGCGGAAATCAGCTCCATTGCAAAGGAGTTCAAACAACTAGGTGGACATGGCACTTAAAGGACATAATGGAGCTTCAACAACCAAATTTTGTTAGCATATACAAAATTTACTCCTATGCCACAAGTTGTTGTAGCTATCCCTATCCCCTATGGCGCAAGTGAAACCAGAGAAATTTCCTTCAGAAGCTAGAGGTTTATTTAGAATAGTTCCATAAGAAAACGGAGATGACCTACCCATGTAGATCATGTATTATACGTGGGTGAATAATTTACCATTACCTCACCGAAACACCGGCAAGCCAAAGTTCCCATACCCACTGTCAGAATAGTGCAAAACCAAATGCTGTAACCAAACACTAGATATATCTTCTTACCAATAAAAAAAAGGTTGTAAGCAAACACACAGCACTCCATAATTTTTTCAATCAACAAGACCATTCCAGAGTTCTAGAACAGTTTAACACAACCTAAAAATCCCTGACATCCCCAGAGTTCTCGAATAGTTTAACACAATCTAAAGTTCCTGATGCCCCACAACTGCACAGGTTAGGTCCCTTATCTAGTTGGAACAAGTGCACGGTTTAGGTCCTTAATCTGGTTGGGTAGTTTATAGACTGAAAAAGAAGCAGCTCCCTACTTTACCTGCAGAGTAGATATCAGAAATTAGGAGAAAACAATTAACTCCAAGCAAAAGTATTAGTAAGATGGTTTCATACCTGTGTAGGGAAGCTCATCACGAGGTCATGTAGAACAAAGCTTTCTTGAGGACCATCAGACCCTGCTTCATGGAGTTAAAAATATCTCTCAGAATGAGGACTAGTTATCTTCCCTGATGCAGGGGAGTGGCAATTGGTGCCTGATGTAGAAGAGTGTTGCGAGAATAGGGACTAGAGAATCGACTCTTGTGTAAGTCTCAGAGAGAAATCAGCTCCGATAATTCCTATCATTTACATTGATCTGCATAATCTTAACTTTTAGTTTCTATTTTCCAATTAATGATCTTCATTCTAGCAATTTATAGATATACAGATGTGAACAGTAAACCTTGTGATGCACTGCACCTCCAATTAATGAAAATTGGATGATCTGATCTTGAAGGAGAGCCTTGGTGTAATTGGTAAAGTTGCTGCCATGTGACGAGGTCACGGGTTCAAGCCGTGGAAACAACCTCTTGCAGAAATGTAGGGTAAGGCTACGTACAATAGACCCTTGTGGTCCGGCCTTTCCTCGACCCCGCGCATAGCAGGAGCTTAGTGCACTGGGCTGCCCTTTTTTCGGATGATCTGATCTTGCCAAGCCCAAAGAAAACAAGAGTCAAGGAAAGTCAAAAGAACATTTGCTACCAATAATCCCCACAAGAACATATTCCTTCCTTAAAATGATGAAAACAATTTGAATCTCGCAAAATAATATGTCGATCAAAAACTCTTGACATGAACTTCATCGCATTATGACAGTCACCGCATACACGAAGGTTCTTGTAAATCCGAATTGGTACTCCATTTGGCACACAAAGAAGCCCAAAAGCAATAGCCAACTTCTCACTGTGATAAGAAAGACTTCGTTCCCTACCTTCTTCATTGATATCATGGAGAGAAAAATTCAAGTCTGGCACATATCCAGCTTCCTTAATCAATGTAATAACATCATCAAGTTTTGAGTAAATTTCATCACTCTTTGGATGGCTTCTTCCCTCAGATATAAATGTGTGGACAACTCCATTCATCTCAATCCAACTATAACCAGGCTCTTTATTAACACCCTTCAACTTCATTTTTCTTCTAAGTTTTGCTGCATCTTTCCATTTTCCTGCAGCTGAATAGATATTTGACAACATAACATACGGGGCAGCATCTTGTGGTTCTAACTGAAAGAGGGCAATTGATGCTTTCTCTGCTAGATCTGTGCTCCCATGTACTCTACATGCAGCAAGCAACGCTTTCCACACAGTAGCATCAGGTGCAATATCCATTTCATTGACTAATTTCTCAGCCTCCTGTATTTTCCCAGCACGACCCAAAAGATCGATCATACATGCATAGTGGTCAGCGCTTGGTCTTATCCCATAATCTTTCTTCATTGAATCGAAGTACTTCTTTCCATGCTCAACAAGACCTGTATGGCTGCAGGCAAATAATAAGCCTATAAATGTAATGAAGTCGGGTTCTATTCCACTTGCAATCATCTCGTCATAAAATCTCACAGACTCCTTTCCTTTGCCATTCTGGGCATAAGCCACTATAAGAGCAGTCCAACTGATCACATTACGCATTTGCATTGAGTTGAATACTTTTTTGGCGTCTTCAAGGTACCCACAATTGGCATACATTGTCATAAGAGAATTATCAATTGATAATGATGCCTCAAGGCCAGATTTAAGAAAATCCGCATGAACTTGTTGCCCAAGTTCAAGTAGTGCCAATTCTGAGCAAGAACTTAGAACACTAGCAATGATAATATGGTCTGGTTCAATTTCAGCCATTCTCATCTCACAAAAGAATTTAAGAGCTTCTTCATAAGAGCCATTGTGAGCACAGCCAGTGACGAGTGATGTCCATGAGATTACATCCTTTTCCACCATGCTGTTGAAGACACTCACTGCACAAGCTAGTTCTCCCTGTTTAGCATACATATCAATAAGTGCATTGCTTACAAGCTTGTAGCTTTCATATCCAGTTTTAACAACCATGCAATGAAGACATTTCCCATTTTTGACATCCTGTATACAAGCAAGAGAATTCAGAACTGAAGGGTAAGTAAATTCATCCACTTCCATATCACTAGCATGCATCCTTTTGAACAAAGACAGTGCTTCCTCTGGAACTCCATGCCTCACACACCCAAGTATCATCGAATTCCAAGAAACTGCATGATCTACCTCCATCAATTCCAATGCCTTCTTAGCACTGAGCAAATCCCCACATTTAGAATACATGTCGATTAACGAGCTTTGAACAAACACATTGGCCTCAAAACCACCCTTGACAATGCAACTATGTACCTGTACCCCAAATCTATTATCATAGAGTGCAGCACAGGAAGTTAAAACACCGGGAAATGTATACTGGTTCGCCTCAATCCCTTCTGAATGCATGTTGCTAAAACACTGAATTGCTCTTAATGCATCACCATTTTGAGAATACCCATTAATCATAGCAGTCCAAGTAACATGATTTTTCCCATGAGACATAACTTGAAAAATACACTCAGCTTCCGAGATGCGCTTAGACTTTGCATACATATCAATAAGGCCAGTCATAACAAAAACATTCACATCAAAACAAGTCTTAATAGCATAGCCATGTATCTGTTCACCTCTTGAAAGCAAGCCTTTTATCGCGCACATTCTCAGAATACTTCCCAATGTGAACTGACTGGGTATATGCCCCTCACTTTGCATTTGCCAGAACAATTCAAATCCTTCAATTTCAAAACCATGCTTACAGTATCCACAAATAAGAGAAGACCAAGAAATTGAACTCTTAATTGGGACCTCCTTGAACACTTGTCTTGCTTCAACAAGCCTTCCTACATTGGCATACGCCGCAATAATTGTATTCCATGTAAACTCGTCTTTCTCAGGCATTTTATCAAACATCTTTCGAGCTGCATCAGTGTGACCCAGTTTTGACAACTCACTCAGTTTTTTATTTTTATCAACTAAGGAACATTTATGGCCTCGTGTAATCGAACTTGCAAAGGTTTGAATCGTGCGATGAAGTTGCAGAGACATAAGTTGACACAAATAAACCTTTGACCAGAGGTTGAAATGCTGAAAATTTTATGAAAATTTTGCTTCTTGAATATGAGCATAAATTTTTCATTAGAACAAATAACATGCAGGAATAAAGACACTTAATTGTTTATAGTATGATTTTTAGAATTGCATAATTCATCTCCATAAATTTTTGGACTTGCAACATCCAAACTAAAACTTGGGTTATTTTGGTGCAATCAATTTGCTATCTCCTAACAAAGTCATGGGTATTACCACTTGAATGAAAAAGAAGGGAAATACTTCACCTCATCATAGAGTTTAAGGAATGGTATTATAAGGGTGGTTTGTCCACATTGACATTATTTCTAAGGAAATAATTTTCATTCATTCTTTTTCTTTTTTTCTTTTTAATGTTGGTTGGCTGTAAGGTGGCTTTCCCATGGGTAATCTTATTTTAATCACATATGATCATCCAATTTTACAAAAAATATAAAATAAAATTTTAAAACGATAAATAATACAATCTTACCTTTATATCACTAAGATATTAATCTGGAGCCACAAACACAAATCGATGGTAAAAATATCCACGAGACACCACTTTAAACATAAAATAATAATTCTAACCCACTTAAAAATATAGTAAAATCTACAATGTGCTACGTGGTGAAAGATAATGTGCATCAGTAACTTCTATATAACATCATTCCTATATAACAACATTTCATTATAAAAGTCAAGTTTTTTCGGAACAAATTTTTATGTTATGTTATAATATATGTTCTATATAATAACATTTCGTTATAATATCCAAAAATATTCGGAACAAACGAGTATGTTATAAAGAAATTTGACTGTATTAGGTTGGGAAATGATTTTTTTTTTTTTGGCTTTTCTTAGTGTTGCCATGTGAATATTATACATGTTCCGGCCTACAAGGACACATTTTAGCATTCTCTAACGTTTTCTATTTTTATGATGTATATGAATAATTAACTTATTTTTTCACAAATATTCTTTATTTTTTAATTTAATATTATATATATTTTT